CGGCTCGCTGCTGAGCCAATGGCTCCCTCAGTCTTGGTCCGTGGCTGTCATGTCACCATCTTCTTTTTAGGGTAGATCTCACCCCTCATTGTAACGAAGTCTAAGAATCTAAAGCACACAGAGGCCAAGTACCTGGTTAAATCAACCAAGAAGGGGTAGCCGCCCCCAAGTGTGGGAATGACTGCTTTATATGATGGCAGCTTGCAGTCGTCTTTTCCAGTGTAAAGTGAAATGAGATCATAAATATTTTCACCTTTTGGATTGCTCACCCACCTGACACATCTGGTGGACTCCAGGCCTTTCGGCCGCAAGCCCTGGCATGCCCGGCTGCCTGCACAGGCTCTGAGGCAGTTCCCAGGGAGCCGGGCCCTCCCTGTGAGCCACCTCCATGATAACAGTCATACCTGCCCCCCCTTTTAGCAGGAGGGTGACCGATGTGGTCATGCAGCAATGGACAGACGGAGCCCTGTATGCTCCAGGCATGCCTTCCACGTCTCACTTTGGGTTCTTCAGACTCACCTGGGAAGGGCACCACATGCCCCAGAGATGACACTCCCGGGAGACTTCTGCACCTCTTTCTCCCCGCCCCCCCCCCCCCCCTGGGGACTTGGGCTTGCAGAGGGCTTCCCATGCCCCGTGGGGCTTAGCTCTGCCCCTTTTCTCCTTTCCCTGCCTTCTTGGTGGATTCTTTTCCTTCTCCTCCCCTACAGAGGGGAGGGGTGGCAATGCTGATGGAGAAGCCTAGGGTCCAAGGGACCTAGCAGTGCTCTGCCCCGGGAGCCCTGCTGCCCAGTACAGGGCCCTGGGTGGGTTAGAGAAAGGCCACCACCTCCAGGTGAACGCAGACAGGGCATTTGCAGAGATAAAGTGCTGCCTCGTGCCTGTGGACTTGCCCCCTCTTAGGGTTCAAGACTTGATGGGCAAGGGGCTCATTGGATTTCATTCTGACTTGCCCCTCCACCAGGCGCCTGGGAGCAGAGCACCCCTGGAGGACTGCTCACGGGACCCTGGGCTCTGCTCGCCCCTTTGCATGTTTGCACCTCTGTCCAGACCTGAGGTTTGAGTGCCTGTGTCTCAGCTGAACCCACACACAAGCTTAGGGGGGGACGGACAGGGAAGCTGTTTTTGTAGTTATGGGAATTAGCTTCAGGCGGCTTCTACCGATCAAAGGAAGCTCTTCCTGTCTAAATGGAGCTACTGTCACAGAAAGGTGGCGAACACAGCTGAGTTTAGTCCTCACGTAATAAAATATTTGTATTAAGAATTTTTGTTCTACTTAGATTTTATAGAAATTGGGTTGAATTTACTATAATAATGACATTGTTTCATCTTTTGTCTCAGCAAAAGTATACCTTTTGGCTTGTCCATAATTAAGAAAATTCTATAACAATGGCGAGGAAGAAAGAAATAAAGAATAACAATGGCAATATCTGTTTTTACTATTTTAATGAATTGCGGGCACAGACATTATTCTTCCAATACGGAGAAAATTAAATGGGAAACGTCATACTCTGTTGAATATGAGCTTTTAAGACAGAAAATTGAAGGTACAGCATAACAATATAATGACCTTGACCCTCCTGGGATTATAAACTTTTCTGTCTAACATACTTGCACTTTTACGAGTCTTTCATCTTTGCTTTGTTTTAGAGAACTCCTGTGACACCTGCATCTACACTGTCCCTGAAATTCTACAACTTGCTTATAGAATTTTGAGGCTTTCCATTATCCTTCTGTTTCCTTTTATCTTTCAAGAAAAAAAAATAAAAGGGTTTTCACAGAATCTTGAACAAATTACAGTAATTTAAAATTATGCATGCAATTAAGGAACTTTTTTTAGAGAGTATTAAATGTTGTCATACAGGCATGGATGTCATTTTGAGCAATAATTGCAGTTTGCCACTTTAGTAAATTAAAGTGACTTTGCTTCGGAATGATTGCTTGGTAGATGAATTTTAATTTTAATGGCATGCCAGTGACTTCTAACAATGGAGGCTCCTGTTACCAGGCCAGCGTCGTGCCAGCCCAGCCCTGGCGGCCCACTGGGGTCCTTGCCACCCGGCCTCCAGGCTCCCATCCAGCTGGCTGTCTGGCTCACACTGTCCCATCAGACTGGCTGCCAGGCCACGGGCTTCCCAAGGCTATGGACGTGGGAGAATTTGCGTTGCGATTCTTCGCTCAGCTGAAGGCAGGGGGGAGAGGAGACAGAGTGAAGCAGGGACTTGGCCTTCCTTCCCGTGGCGGAGAGGGTCCAGGAGGATTCTGCGCGACAGTTGGGCAGCACAGCACGCCGTGTCAACCTGCTGTCATGGCTGTGACCCTCCATAACTATTGAGGAAACTGGTACTTGCACCTGCCGACCATGCTGGCCAGCGCCTCGCCAGTGCCTCATGATCACATCGCTTTGCCTACCTCCAGCCCCTTTGTTGCTTTCTTGCACTCATTAAACCCAGAAGTTTATAGATAATATTGCCATTTCTAAGTGTTATCCAAGGAGACTGTCTGTGATGGTGATGGTTGGAAAATTTCCGTGTTGGGAGGAAAATGTGGAGGACAAGCCACTTAAACCCTGTCCTTGAATGCAGAGTGATCTTAGCTGGAGCTGCTGCTTACGCCACTGGACTGCTCTATGGCAGTGGTTCGCTTTGTGCCCAGGAATAATCTGTGCTTTGTCCCCTCTGAGCCTCAGTTCTCTAACCTATAAATTGGAGGGAACAAAAGAGCCTTTCTCATAAGGATGGGAAACCTCACTGAGGTGTTAAAGCTCTTGGAAAATACTGGACATTTATTACATGGGCAAGTGACTTATTCTCATTTGTGCCTTGTCTCCTTCCCGGAGACCGAGACTCGGCTGTAGGCACCTGAGAACTCCTGGATGTGTCTGTGGCTGGTGGTGAGAGGAGCTGCCCACCGTGAGTTTTTGTTGGGTCCAGGTGACTCCTGTCTGCTCTCAAATAAGCGTGAGGTCTCCTGTGCTCGCTCGGGGCTGGTGAACAGCTCGGGGAGAAGAGACCTCGGTGGCCAGGTGCCTGGGGCAGAGCACCCTCCTGTGCCTTCCAGCATCAGGGACCTGGGTTCCGGTCTCTTCTGAAGATTCTGTGAAAAGTGATTGCAGTGATAGCAGTTGAACTTATTTAGCATTTGCAGGATGCCGAGGAGTGTGCTAAGTGCTTTATGTGTGTCTATGTGTGTCACGTTCATTTTTAATCTTCACAGCAACCCAGTGAGGTGAAGCTGTTCTTATCTCCACTTCTCGGATGAGGATGTGAGCAGTTAGTAGCTGCCCCAAATCACACAGCTGGAAGGTACCTGGCTAAGAGCAAGCCCATGCCCCATGGGTGCATTGGTCATCGCCCTGGCTGCCAATCAGAATCACCGGGGACCTCGGTGCCCGAACCAAGGCAGAGTCTCCACGGGGGCTTGGGCATTGGAAACTTTCAGGCTCCCAGATGGTTTCAGTGTGCAGCAGGTGAAGAACCATGGGTTAGCCGTGGCCGGGGTTTCTCAGTGATTAGAGCGTTCGCCCTCGCACCAAAGGGTTTTGGGTTCGACTCTCTGTCTAGGGCCTGTGCCTGGGTTGCAGGTTCAATCCCTGGCCCAGTTGGGATGTGTGCTGGAGGCAACCGATCGATGTGCTTCTCTCACATTGATGTTTCTTTCTCCGTCCCCTCCCCTCCA